AGTCTCGTTGGAGATCCTGAAACAAATATATTTTTCTAAGGTTACGTCTTACTGAAGAGTTCTCACCGCAACAACCTGGACACTTAGACATTAGGTATATACCTTTGATAAAATAGTTTTGAGAACATCCTAACAGTCCACCCCCCTCCCCAATGGGTTCAACTTTTGGGAGGCTCTTAAAACGGCCTTATGCCGGCAGCCTTTATTTTCCACGTGCAAAGTTGCAACGGAGGGAAAGCCATTGATCATTACAGAAGTAGAAGATGTGCAAACTCCTATCGGCGCTAACCTAGTTGGGAGGGGCCACGCGGCTCGCGACGAGCGATGACTCATCTGCTCTTCTGCTCCCTCCTCGGCAAAATAGAAGTAATTTCGTGTTTAGGACATGAATATAACTTCGCCCTAGCTATATTCAAAAGTTAAAACAGTTAACACTGAAAAGTGCAAAGAAACAGTTTTAGGCTGCAAGGTTCTTGCCTAAACTACAAAATTGTTGCATGTTTATCGTTGACTGTTATTGTTGACTACAAAAAATCAAATTTTTAGCTTCTGTGGAATTCTTCAGCAAGTTCCCGGTGAATCTTGTTTGTTTTATTCTGATTTGGCTGCTAGATTCGCGTTTCAAGTATGCCGATGAGTCATCACTCGCCGCGAGCCGCGTGGCCCCTCCCAACTACGTTAGCATCCTCCTATCTTTCATCCTACAAAACCCTCAAGCAACGTAAACCCTCCACTTCAACCCTACCTTGAAAGGTGCTCGTCATGCTCTGCATCTCTGATTCTATCCACCGATGGGGTGGACACGCAGAGGTGGTCACAGGCTGTTGACAGTTGTACCCACGAGCGGTTCGAGTCGCCGGTCTACCTGTTCTGTCCGCCCCGTTTGCGGTGAGTTCATATGTCATCACTATTTTTAGAAACTAGTAAATGAAGTAGCGAGATCTTCTAGTGGTTTTCTAGATCAGAAACTTTGAATAGTACACGAATGCCTCTTCGGTTACCTAATTTTTGCTTGAACTTCGCGATTGTTGCGGATTTTCATACAATTAGCTTTTCGGCAATGATTTTATTCAGTTATTTTTTATGTGTCTCGTCCTCAGCGTGTATCGTGAACAGTCAAACTCGATTGTTAACATTAATCCAAAGGCAGCTGTTACAATAACCGATCCGCTGGAAGGAAAAGAATCCTATAAGAAGAACAACTACCGCAAATTTACTTTCAAGTTGGAGAATAGGAGACCTGAGGGGGGTCAACGGCTTATATTGTCCAAACCATTTGGGTGCATTGACTTCTTTTCTCATTGAACTTGCTGACAATTGCTATACGAGGTGCTCTTCAGCGTTGAGAGTACTGGTTCCCGAAAGGCCGTCCATATTTTTTGTTTTTATTCTCCCTATGCTTATTTTTGAGAACCCGTTATTCTTTCCACGCACCCGCGCTTTTTCATTTTGCCTGTGCTTAATTTAAGAATTCGTAAATCCGTTATGGGTTCATCATTCATATTGAGATTAATTTTTGGCATCAACCTAATGATCTGGGAGCAGCGAAAGCCCAATGTGGCTGGATGACCTGACAGGGGGGGAGGGTTGCAAGGGCTCACGTTATTGATAAATTTGCGCTTTATGGTTGATTTATCTCCTAATTTAAGTGGCAGTTTTTGGTGTCCATTGAGTGCTCGACAAATACATAGAAATATAGCTTAAAAGTTAATTGAATGGAAATCTGGGCTCTATGCAGTTTCGGGATGAGGGGGGGGGGGGGTGGATTTTACAACATTACACGATCAATATAGTAGCCTGCGTTTCTAAATGGCCCATTAAAGGGGACTAGGAGTGTGGGTGGACGTGCCGCTTTGCACGTTCGAACTTTCCACGAAAGGCTGGTGATTCACTACTCTCTAAGCTCCAATCTGCAATGAGGCTACTGTATGTACGGCGCAAATCTACATGGCGCTAGAACTAAAACATCCCCCACCCTCCCCTTCCGCAGCAAATAGCTGCATCAGTCTGGCGAATCTTAGACACGAATTCGAAAGAAGGCTTGAACAGTCGATGGCAGACCTTTGAAAGAGTGATTGCTGGGAGTGCGTTCATACTTTGCGTCAGCGTCTTAAACATTTTCAGACTGCAGTCGACAGTCGATACCTACTTTCTTGGTCCATCCTGACGCAAAGTATGAGTCGCCAATCTTATGGGCTGTGTTTTCGTCCCTTAGTTTGAATACTTGCGATTGCATGGTAGTCATTGTGTATTGAATAAATAGTGAAAAAATAACTAGAAAGTCTCTATACTCGTTATTCACTCATGTCGTTGAGATATTTATTTTCCTATTTCACTTTTGTTCTATGGTCACGTCTTGTACGTTCCAGCTTGGGAAGGCATTTGTTTGTTTTCCATCAGATATTATATGCGGAAGTATTGCATGTTTGATGTTGGTTTTCCCGCTTATTTTCCTTTGATTTACTAATGTTTGTATTTTCGCCAAGTTTCTATAGTTATTTCCTCTCTGTATTCTTGTAACGTGGCTTCAACCGTGCATAAGCTGAATTCTGTCACAGAGGACCTGAGTAAAGCCAAACATTGCTAAGGCCCTCCATAACTTCTAAATGTAACTTACCAACTTTTGTTAAACGCAGCGAACATAATAAGTATAGAAGAAGCAGAATCCCTGCGGCGTACCGCTAGTTTTACTATCCCTAGTTTGGAGCTCGAGCGCTATGATGATGATGATGATGGAGGCCATGTTACAGCGCAGCGAACACCCTCCCTCTCTTTCCCCTCAAGCTTAGGTTTATCAGGAAAGGATAGTCTCACCAAGGTACCATGAACAATTTGAGAGGAAGTAGCAAAAGCTACCAGCGCAAGTGCAAATGCCCCTTCTCAGCCAGGAAAAGTTGAGTAGACCGTTTAAATGAGATGTATACTGACTGAAGGGTCTTTGGACGATGATTACAAACCCGTATTCCATATTTGCTTCAGACCTCTTTGAACAAAGTTGCGGAGATTTCTCTAGGGAAGCATGCCCGCAGACATACTAGTTTCTAGCGTAAGAACGCGTTCATACTTTGCGGCAGCGGTTGAGCCGTTTACGACAAAAGTATTATTAATAGAGTACAGGTATCGATACAGCGTTTTGAGCATACGCTTGAAATTCTGCTCAAATTTTTCGTTATGATACTCTCTATTACAAAGGATATAAGTTACTAGTAGCAGAGGATCCATCCCGGGCCAGTTTATAGTTTTTTTTCTGTTTTTCAATTAAATTCCTTCTTATGTTTACTGGTGCTAACTTTTCAAAGTTCGTAGCAGCTATTCTCTTTCGAAACATAATCTCTTTCCATTAAGACATTGTGGTTACTGCGCGCTTCTCCATAACATTTTATCATCTTCATCAGGAACTCCTCAGTAATTTTCTCCCTTTTCAATCGCTTACGAGATAGATATCTTCCGCGAGCGAAAATGTATTGAGAACAGTGCAACATGAAAGGAGAGTCAAATTAATCCAATAAAACGCCGCCTAAAGACGAATTCATGACACGCCGTGTGTGTCGCGCGGTCCGGAACGTGTTAAACTGCTGCATTTTCCTGTTAGCAGGTTAATTTGACTTAGGCCCTATGGTCGAACTAGCCTACAATTAATGTCGTTATTAATGTTTATTTTACGTTTGGTTTCTCTTTTTGGTTTAAATTCGGTTATCTATGTCCATTACAAACAAGTTTGATTCTTAATTTATTGAGACCCTGTAAGCGAAATTTGGCGAAAGTTAGGTAGGATCGAAAGTCGTTACAGTTTCCTTTGCGTTTTTGAAGAACTCCTCAGGGGTATATGCATTCGCGCTGGTATCTTTTGCTTGATTCCTCTTAAAGACAGCCCCCGCGTCAAGTATTAGGTTGACCGGAAAGTTTCCCGCCATTGAATTGGTGAGGAATCCAACGGCCAAGCTTTGCGACTTTACCAATCTTCTCCAGCCCAGATTCAACAGTTGATTGGGCATGGCCGAGCATCGCTGCAAGTTCCCTGGTAGTGGCGTACGGATCCTCTTCCACGGTGGATTGCAGCAACTTCAAGTCTAACTCCATCGGCCGGCCGGACCTTGGAGCATCTTGG